GAGTCACCACATTTGGCTGACAAAGTCAACCATACCGCGTGACATTATTCCTATATTATTATCTACCAAAAGGAACAGATAAAGCAAACAATCCCACTGTGCTCTTTCATCCACAGATGGATGCTACGATCCGGTTATTCGTGGGCCTTGTCACACATTGCTTCTAAGGTATGCATACAATCCTGAGACGAAGGAATGCGCCCCGTTTGTCTACAGTGGATGCGGTGGCAGTCGTAACAATTTCGAAACAAGACGTAAATGCCGACGCACTTGTATAGAAGATTTCTATTTCTAAATTACTCAGCAAACATTCTTTTCGGTCGAATCTATTTTGTTCTGGTCTGTATCAATCGAACAGTGCGTATGTTGAACTCGCTCTTTTATCCAAATGGGCAACCAAAAGACAGCAACCAAAACCGGCGCACGAAATTGCGTGGTTAATGGTTGGAAAAACTGAACTGAACTGATGTTGAACTCGGGTCGCGTCGTGAGTATTTTCTGTTCATCGGTTGCTTGGCTGAAGTGTTTGCCGTCCAAGCTCTTCCTCAAGAGAGCTGCCATATCTGAAAGCATGTGCACTATTACACCGGTGTAATAGAAATTAAGCAATCACATTTTCCTCAATCTAAGGTATACATATCAAAAGCTCTGTTCATGAAATACTTCATTCTAGCAAAAATGCGACTTTATCCACATGTTTAGTGTAGCTTCTTTCACCAAAATCGATACATTCAACATTGCTCAGTCGACCCGGGCAGAATCATTCCTTATTCCAGTCACTTCGGAAAGCGGAATGGGCATATTCGACTAGTCGCAGAACTGAGTGAACCAATGCGCTCACATAATACTAAAAATCTTATTTTACAACAATATGACATTCAAATAATATTTATGCAGTTCAATCACATTTCTCTTGTGTATCACATTGTTGCATGAACCGCGGAAACCAAGGAATACTTTTTTTGGATGTACACATAGTTAGGTCGGGTCCAGTCTTCTCTAATTGAAATACCATGGTCGTTAACATGTTATTTTCTGATTGTTTGTTTTTGAAGCTTCATTATTTTGAAAGCTTGTCTCGTTGGTTGTCGAAAGAATCTGTTGCGCTTTTGAAAGAGAGCGAGAGGGAGTTTGGTACTTGAGAAACCTTGAAGTCCGTCAGTGTAATCGTCAGGTTAACAATTCTATAGATAAAAGCGTGCAGCTTATTTGAAGAGATGAGCTTTGAATTGAAATCAGCAAACTACTTCATATTGGTAAAAATAGCAGCCAGACCATCCGACAACTGAGATCCCTTGGAGTATGTCTATCAGATTCAACAAGCTTCCAAACGCGATTAGTAAAAGAAAAAGCAAAACAACATAATGATAGCTTAACGCGGATTTTGGCATAAGTGATCCCACTCCACCAAGCCATATCTTGCTCGAGATGAATGGACCAGAACAGTTAACGAAGGGGATGAGGCAGATGTGATTTATTTCAACTTCTCGAAAGCATTTGATCGGGTGAATCTTCAAATTTTGTTACAGGAGTTCTACAATGAAGGCATTCGAGGTTTCCTGTTTTTTGGATTAGAGCATTTCTCCAACAACGGACCCTATCACTTCGTGTTTCTGATTCCATATTCGGATCTATCAATGCCACCCGCGGTGTTCCACAAGGGTCCGTACTAATTCCCCGTCTGTTCCTCGTGTTCACAAATGATCTACCGAATGTGTTAGGTGAATAAACAATACTGTTTGGAGACGACGCCAAAATCTGGTATACAGTAATAGAACCCGATGGATCTCTAACACTTCAAGAATCAGTTAACGCAGCTTATCAGTGGTCTGAGGAGAAAGACGTTGCATTCAATGTTTCTAAATACAGAGTTCTATCTCCATGCCACAAGAGAATATTCTCGTATTTCCTCGGAAATCAGCATCTATCACATACTTCAAGTAAAATCGACTTAGATCTCCTTGCTCAAGAGGATTTAAGCTGCCCGATCAATTGCGCTAAGGCTTCGTCCGCTGCTGGGAAGAATGTTTGCTTACTTAGGCGAGTATTTGTTCGGTTTGACTCAGCACTGTTCCCATGTTGGTTATCAGTGTACATTCGACCGCACGCAGACTACGCAATCCAAGCTTGAAGCCCATGGTTGCAACGTGATCTCAAGATCCTTGGGAGTCCACAAAAGATGGCCACGAAGATGGTCAAGGGATTGCATTACCTCTTCTATAAGGAGAGATAATGACCATTGGGACTATATTCTGCTCAGTACCGCCGAATTGGGAGCGACTTGATTTTGACGTATCGAATACTGCGGAACCCAAACCAACTATGTTGGCAGCTGCTCATATTATCCAAGAATACTCACCTTAGGGGACCTCGTTTCAAGTTACTGATTCAAAAGTGTCGACCGGAATGCCGGTGCTAACCCTTTGCAGTCAGAGTACGCAGTACTTGGAATACCCTTCCATCTCACGTCACTTGTGCACCAGCTATTGAGTCATTCAAGCCGGGACTCGATGTAACTTTGGTACGCTTTATTTTCTTACACCACTAAAAGCGAAAGCAAAATCATTGAAGCCTGCATTCTCTATTATCTTTTAACTGGAACTGTATATGATATTTTTCCATGAAAGGAATCAATTGTGC